GTGTACGAATCAGAAGTCAGGTTTTGCGCTTTGTCGCACTCAGCCTTGTGCGTGGCGCCTTCCAAGAAATGCTCGTGTATAGGCTGACACATGTAAGATGACTGCAGCGACAACCCCGCGCCAGCCGCTCAAAGAAACCCTGGGAATTTAAGGCCGAAAGATCAGGAACGCTCCGTTAGACCAATCGACGAGGTACTTGTGCCCAATAATTGAACAATACAGCCCATCCTTTCGAGTCCCGTCGGATGTACACAACCCTGCATCTGTTGGGTAATCTCGAATTACCAATCATGGCCCCCAATGTCGTGACCACTTCCGGTCAATATCTTTGGGGGCCTCGCGGTTGCCGACGGAAGGTGTCGCATCATGTAGGTAGGCGCGTAGCTGGCGTTCGCCAAAGATACACAAAAGGGCCCTCGCTACAAGCTTGCTCGCATCGCGTGTGAGCCCGATCGCAACTCCTCTCATCCCTTTCACAAAATGTCGCAGCAGCCTGTGATCGACGAGGCTACCGTTGGGGCAGACGAAGGCCTTGTATGATACATGACGCTCGTGCTTCTGTAGGTTCTAATGGATACCTAGGATACGGCGAAGACCCTGGAAACAACTCAGGTCCAAGACCAGTACATCAAGCTCCTTCTGAAGAAGATAGCCTTGCTTGAAGAACGCCTTTCGGTAACTAACGACGATGATCGTGCGTCACAGGTATGTATTTGGATCTCATGCTTTGAAGTCTACATGTTGACCTCAGGGTAGAAGAATGACGGCAAATCCGAGGCGCCAGTTGAAAAGAACGAAGTCGAGGAGGAAGACGAACCCCGATACGTCATCATTGTGAACAAATGGGATCCTGATACTGGCGACTACAAAGATGACGAGATCACGAAAAGTAACGAGAAGAAGGAGATTGGGCCCAAACCTCAAAGTCGCAGAGCTTTCACATTTCGCAAGTCTACCATGTTTCGACCTCGTTTCAACATAGTTGAGACGGTCCTGTCGGAAGCCCAGATTGAGTCTGAGCCATTGCAGAAGCTCATTGGCAAGATAACGGCCAGACTCGGAACAGATGAGATGATCAAAAGCCTCAGCTCTCCTTTTGCGAGTCTAATCTGGACGTGGGCAGAGGCTGAAGAGGAAGCGAAGAAGTTCGTGGAGAGTGAGACGCCTGAGGAGAAGCAAGCTCGAGTTGACCTCCGCGAGCTCATGCGAATCATTTCCGCATCTTCAGGTATCCTACCTCTCGACCAGTACTTCAAAGAGAGAAACTTCTTCGTGGAAGAGAGCACCATTTCGCACGCAGCTCTGTGGACACTATTCCCACCGGGCACCCTGATCGTCTCACACCCCTGCCTGGGTGAGCCTCAAATCTTTACCGTCGATTCGTGCGATTCTTTCGTTCGAGAAGAACACACCTTTGACTTGGTATGCTTCAGCTTCGACTGGACGGGCACAGAGTTTACCAGAGTACCCTTTGAGATGAAGATCCGCCATTGGGGCTCCAATCGAAAGAGCATTGTAGAATTACCGTTCTACCCGCTCAAATACTATACTAGCCCAGATGAACAAGACATCTCGTCGGATGAAGCAATTGCTCGCCTCAAGGAACGGCTCATCGCTCGGGGAGAGAAGTTTGTCAAGCTCTGCGATCCTGGCAAAGGCAAACAAATGTTTACATACTCCGGTGATGCACACTTCCACGCAGGGCGTAGCTTCATCGGTAGTAATGAAGACGAGGGAGGGCGCCGGCGGCACGATGATGATACTACATCTTCTACCGACACTGGCGTTGGACGGAACAGCGAGGCTCGATACATCCAGAAGAAAAAGGTAAGCAATCGCTTGCTTCTGACTACAATACATCGCTTTCTAACTTGGCTTTAGGTAGACGGGACCACGATGGTTGATTTCACCTCTTTCTTTGAATACCTGGCTCCCAACACTCCAATTCTAGGAGACCTTCCCCAGTTTCGCGGCCAACTGGAAAACCTCTCGCCCGAGAAACGCGCCAACCCAATCTACAGAGATATGTACAAGACGCATTGGGACCGACACGCCTCTGACACAGCCATGTCGGCAGATCAACTAATGCATTGTCCTCCGAGAGTCCTCGGATACGCGCTGAAGCAGAAGAAGTGGGCGCAGCTGCTGGTGGAAAAGCTTAATCCTCCTAACGACGCCGACGCAAGTGTCTTCCGCGACAAGCTGCAACTTGACTCAGACTCTAAAGAGCTGGTCAAATGGTCCGTGCAAGCACATGAATATGGGAAGGAGACCGATGCTAAGGGCGTATCCAAGAGCCTGCAAGACTTTGCGCCGGACAAGGGAAAGGGCCTCGTCATCATGCTCTACGGTAAGAGATTCTGGATGCGCGATAACACTCCATAGCCACTGATCAAGTTCAGGTCATCCCGGTGTCGGAAAGACACTAACCGCAGAGAGTGTAGCTCTCATGGCCGGCAAGCCTTTACTTTCCGTCGGAGTATCTGACATCGGAATTGAAGGCGACAAAGTTGAAGCAAATTTGCAAAAGGTGTTCGACCTCGCAGGAAAATGGGAAGCCGTACTTCTCTTCGACGAAGCGGACGTTTTCCTCGAAGCGCGCGGTCGCGGCGAGAACGATCTGAGACGCAATGCCATGGTTTCGGTACTCTTGCGGGTACTAGAGTACTACGACGGCATACTGATCCTCACTACAAACCGCATGAGATCTTTCGACATCGCTGTTCAGAGTCGCATTCGTAAGTCTCCCAATTACACATGCTGGTTCAACGCTTTTCTCTTTACTAATACATACGCCTCAGACATTGCAATCAAATACGAAGAACTCATGCAATCCCAACAGATCGCCATTTTTGAATCCTTCCTCGAGCAACTTCGCGATAAAAAGCTCGTCCATAACTACAAGGATCTCATGCAGTGGGTCGAGAAAGACAGCCGCAAGCTCGGATTCAATGGCAGACAGATCAGGAATGTGGTGTCGACAGCTATGGGTATCGCACTGGTGGACGAGGAGAATGGTGGGAAGCTGAAGAGGGTACATCTCATGCGCGTTGCCGAGCAGACGAAGCAGTTCAAGACTGATTTGATTGCTGAGGAGGAGATGTATAAGAGGTTGCAGAAGGGTATTTCTTGAGGGAATGTTGCAGTGAAGATTTTAGTGCCTGCTAGTTGCCCTACTCCCTGGGCCGTATCCAAATGCGTGTTCAGTGATGGCAAGCTCGATGAACTTCCAGAACGATCAGTTCAGCTCAAGTTAGTCATCTGTAACAATGCTGAACCATTCATCCCTCCATGTATCAAGACTATCGCCACTATAATGGTAAGCCCGTTGAGCCACAGTCTTAGTACATCCACCAGTCGGTTCGAAAAACACGATGACAGTCGGCGAGGCGTGATGTATCCACGGGCTAAGCCGCTGCTTCTCAGTGCTTAGTAATGCCCAGTGTGTATTTTGAATCTTCTGGCGAATGATCTCAGCCTGTCTTTGCCATGTAGAAAGAAGCTTGTCAGCATGCCGCTGAAGTGTGCCTAGGAAATGTCCCACACGGATACCATCTTCCTGGGTTACTCTAGAAATTAAACGCAAACGATTATTATGCAAATGAGGCATGTATATGCCAAGTGTCTTGCAGGCAGGCTCCGTCAGGAACATGTCAGCTATCAGTTCTGCGAAGCGGCCGCCTGGTAGCGATCCTCGAAGTAGGCAAGGCTGGTTAGTACCTCCCTTCAAGGCGATTTCACATCGTCCGAGCTTTAGCTCCATGCGGCTACCAAACAGTTCCATGATGTGAGGATTCATCTTGAACTGGCTGAGGTCTAGCCATAGCGGAACTTTGGCCACAGGCGTAGACGCTCCTATCCAACCAAACCGTTGGTAAGATCTTCGGATGGCCAGGTAAGCGTCTTCGGATAGTGAGTTGGCTTGAGTAATTCTGGCTGGGTAGCAGACTAGCGCATGCTCGTGTTGAGCTCTTTGCGAATCATCCGTGGTCTGATTCTCGACAATCGCAATCTCATCTTCCGACGGTTGCATCCACGACGGACATATGGCCATATCGATAGGTTCGCCATGTTCAACTGGAGGACATGGAAAGTGAGAGCGGTACTGAGTTGAAAGGATATGTTCGATTGTACACCGCCAAAGACGATTGACGCCCCATGCGGTATGTTGAACCTGGGCCGTCGCTTGCCGGAGAATGAGCTCCAAGAGCTCGGGTATGAGGAGGAGGCGATGGGTAGGAGTGAGTGGACTTGTTGGTACTGAAGCTTCAAGAGCCTTTGTTGCCGTAGGCTCTGTCGCTATAGCTGTCATTGCTACTGTGTGCTGCGGGACAGAACGAGATGTAAAGACAGCTACGCGCGCGTCGATAGCCCGAAGCGTCTGGCTCCGCCATTGCTCCACACTGACTTCAAGATGTTCCTCTGGGCGCTGAGGGGGCAGAGGCCATGGGATACGAGGAGGTTCTCGACCCATACGTTCCTCATCAAACGCACCGACGTATAAAGCTGCATACCGGACCGAGTCGTAGTCCATGGAGGAAAGGTCTTCATCCGGGAAGTACTTCGCAATCAAGAGGTCATGGGGATGGTAAGACATGGCGAGATGAGTATGAGTGGTAGGGATGGCACGTCTTTATGCTGCAGCGGCGGAGGCACGTAATGTCCCGAGTCAAATTCCGTGCAGATGGATTGCTATCGCATCGCCCCTGCAGTTCTGGGTGCAGGCTACAGCAGCTTCGACGGTCCTGCGAAGTGTCGGACGCGACGCGCTAAGTGGGGCTGGAGCCGGGGCTGGGGCTATCGATTACGAGCAGTCGGCGGTACTTGCCAATGACGCAGCCTCGGCGCTTCACGGTTGTCTACGTTGCATTCCGAGTGATTGCGCTCAAACGCTTACGCCGCACAGCAGCTAATATATATACATAAGAACTCGCGCTCACTCCTAGTCAACTCACAACCTCTCATCTCACCGGTCTTGCTAGCTCATATCCACCGCGACCATGTCCACCCGCGGGCAGTTCAACACAAAGAACCCGACTATCAAGCGCATATGTACGCGAGCATTGGGCTGTGACCAGTGACAAGTAGCTGACACGTGTTGCAGTAAAGGAAGCGTCGGAACTGTCGGTATCGCCCTCCTCAGACTACCACGCCGAACCTCTAGAAACCAACCTCTTCGAATGGCACTTCACAATCCGCGGCCCGCCAGAGCCATCACCCTACGCCGGCGGTATCTACCACGGCCGCATAGTCCTGCCATCGACGTATCCTCTCCGCCCGCCATCCTTCCGCTTCCTTACACCCACTGGCCGCTTTGAAGTCAACCGCGAAATCTGTCTAAGCATATCGGGTCATCACGAAGAAACATGGCAACCGGCTTGGGGCGTGCGCACAGCCCTCGTCGCGATAAGGAGCTTCATGGACACGGATGCTAAGGGCCAGCTCGGCGGCATCGAATGCAGCAGAGAAGCACGCGAGCGCATGGCCAAGGACAGCGGCGCGTGGAAATGTGCCGGCTGTGCCAAGAGCAATGCTGACATCATGCAAGAGCGCGAGGAGCTCGTCAAGGAGATTGAGGAGAAGGAAGGCAAACGGAAAGACGATGAAGTCCCCGAAGAGCTGAGACTTGCCTATCGCGACGAGCTGGGTAAGGAAGGCCAGGACGACAAGCCGGTGGACAAGGGCAAGCAAAGGGCAGTAGAGAGTCCTGCTGAAGTCGCGTCGCCTGCTGCGCCATCAGTACCTACCGCTACAGTACCAGTCACAACCCAAACGCGACCCACCCCTGCTGTACCTACGGCTAGACCGACAAGGACGAGACCCGCACCTCCGCTCCAACAGGTCGCCCAACGTAGTCCCGACCTGGCTTGGATCGATACTTGCATTTACGGAGTAGTGGCCGCGTTATTGTTCATGGTGCTCAAGAGGTTCGTGTGAGCGAGCTATTCCAGGTTTACTGTTTTGCTTGAAGAGTCATGGTAAGATCGGCGCAGTGAAATTAGCACGGGTGTATTGGCGTTGAATATCTGTTCATGTTCGTGGGGTATCACTTTCTGTTCCGCTTGAATTATCTGGTGGGTACTCGCGTGCCATGCTGTTCGAAAGACCTGGATGAAATGGCATGTTCCCATCCGATTCGAAGGGAGCTGGGGCGCTGGCGGTCCGTGTTCAATGGGATCATCATCGTGACAGTCGTACATGAGCCATGTGTAGTGTTCGCTTCAAGTTCGACAGGTAGTACGAAAGGCTGGGTGTGTCCGAGACACATGAATCTCGACAGTAGGATACTCGTGAAATACTGCTGGTCGTACCTAAAGCACATGTCGTTCAATTCGAATCTCTATGTTGTCACGGCAAGTTTCACGCGTCTTGCTATCATGTGTGCCTAACTGAGGCGACGGTTATCTAGCATCTTGTCGAAGGGGTGGCGCAATTACACAGGAACATCAACTCAAGCGAGCCTCTTGACGTCGCGAGTACGATGAGATTGGGGTGCGCTATCGTGATTGACTTCCCGAGGTTAGCCTGTCATTAGCGTCTTGGCATCATCTGCATCTCGAGGTCCCTTGCCCTACAGAGTCCCATCCGCGACGCGACCATCCAAGTGCGCTCCACCCCGCTGATTTCGCGAAAACCTCTTGTACACGCGTTATAGAACTTCGTCACAATCCGTGCACGACAGAAATGGCGCGACTATCGCCGCGTGTACGCGACTGAGCAGCCCAAACATGTCCCCGATCCTGCACGAAGCCAGCAACCGTCTTTGCAGAAGGAACAACCAATATGTCGAAACCCGCCTCAACCCCCCACTCAACCCGAGTGCAGAAGGTGTGCACTCTCTGGACTCATGACGACAATTTTTCTAGAGACGAGATCATCTTCAATGGAGAGAAGTTCCCTGAGTTACCCACCAGTGCTGGTGCCCTCCTCCAGATTGTGGCGATACATGCAGACCACACTGTTCGAGACTTTCACACAGGATCCAAGAGTCAGTCGCAAGATGCGACACACTTCAAAGCCGATGCACTGCACAAGGATTCCAATATAGATAACCATCCGAAAAGAAATCGTCGGGATTCGATAACGATTACGATTGATGAGAATGGCTCGACCATTCCCGGTGGTCGCGAAATCGATGCGGAAAAAGCCTATGTTTTCGTTCCTAAACCGCTTCCTGCAGACTTGAAGACAAAATATCTAAACCTACAAGTAAGATTCACACAAAGTAATCTTTTGCTCAACTAATAGCAAGAAGGTTTCCATATCAGAGAGAATCGCGAAGGTGTTCGGGTTCCGCAATAGGATGCAGGTTGTAGTGACCGAAGCGGATGAAGATGCTCACGAAGCCCATCACGTAGAGATCGTGTTCCGTGACGAATACCTAGCACGCGCGGATATGTGGCGCATGGCCATTGCCGAGCTCAGCAAGCGTACCGTCTACCGTGGCCAACGACTACTATTCATGGGTACCATCAAGGCCACGATAAAACACATTTATATCAATGGTCAGTCTGTCCATTCCGGGTACTTCTCGCCGAAATCGAAGCCCATCTTTCGCAGCGAATCTGCACGATACACGTTGTTCATCCAAATGTCTAGAGAGATGTGGGATTTCGATACCGAAGGCGCTGGCGAGATAATGTTCAACAAGGTTGTCAGTGGATTCCTTCCAGACCTCTTCAAGAGATGGCTGAGGATCAATGCGCGACACTTGGTCACCATCATACTGTTTACGAGGATGCAATATGACGGAGAGCTCTTGGCAGATCAGCCCGAGGGGACGACGAGCAACATGTCCTCGGAGTCGCATTCCGGCACTTTTAGAGATTACTACAGAGTTGTCGTGAGCGACATGGCCAGTGGTGATTGGATTAACATCCTGTATCAGCTCAAAAAAGAGTTCAGGATGTTTCTCCGAGAAGTATCTCTGGTCCGGAAACCAGTAAAACCTGCTTCTGAGATTGAGGAGTCAACCTCTGAAGACACCGCTACTGATATTGTCATAGCTGGTCGACCCTCTTCTGCAAGCCAGGGTAATATCCTGGAAGCCATCAATCTGGCTGCAGCCCAATTCGCGAAGGATTACATCGATCGAGACCTTGTTCGAACGGGTATCTCGGTCATCGTTGTTACTCCAGGTACTGGCGTCTTCGAAGTCGACTACAACATGCTCAAGCTTACTACGGATACTCTTATTGGATCAGGTATCGGTATTGACCTCGTGTGCCTCTCGCCGATGCCTCTCCATTCCGTACCCTTGTTCAAGTACCAGACACCTCGCTCAGTTTCCGATATGAAGGCTGAGCACGACAAGGAGTGCCACGGGGCCGCGAGTATGTCGCGCACAGAAGAAGATCAAACTCCACGTCAAAGCCAACCGGATTTCGGCTCCATGTCACGCGCATCCACAGTCCGACGCATACCGACAGACAACTCCCTCGACTCGTCAGACGGATGGAGGTTCGCAATGCCGTATTGGGTGGACGTCTCCTTCTGGTCCGGAACATCCGAAGAGATACTGGAACTCACAAAGCCACGAAAGGCTGACAAGATCGTGAAAAAGTCGCGCAAGAAGGGCCGTATCTTTTCTCTACGTTGTCGTTTGTATGAGCTGCAAATGATGGGCGTTATGGAGAATGAGCTGGGCGACATTGCGATTCCCTACCTAGAAGAAGATCCAATGTACCCGCATCATCTGCGCGAATTGTTCAAGACCAACGAAGAGGGCGTACGAAACGCGCAAGCAGTCAAGCCTTCCCCAGCTGCAGCGGGCTCATATTCTTCGCGGGGTGACAAAGAATACACCGACGACCAGCTGGACGAAACAAGAGCTGCTCAGAAGGCCTGGATGGAGGCATACGATGGCGGGGTCTTTTCTCCTCTTATGGAAAGACACTCTACGTTGAACCAGCTCCAGGTTCAGAAGCGAAGGCTAAGCGACGCCATCACAAGTGGATCCCCGGAGCTATCGCGAAGTCTGCGTCTATCTTCCTCTTTCCGCAGCACTGCCCCGTCACTTGGACAGTCAGCTCGGCCTCCGCCAGAAACAAGTTTTCCGCAACTCATGCATGAGAGATCTAAAGAGCTTGAAAGCCAATCTCCTCGAGGAAGTACATACCGGATGCCTGATTTCAAAGGCGACGGGTTGCCACGAGCCGATATACTGCGGCGGCAGAACAACATGACCAAGGGCGTCATTGGAACTGATCGCCCAGTGGCACATAAGAGAAGTGGCTCCGGAGATTCCCAAGATCATCGTAGAGTTATGCACGCGAAGCCAAACAATTCCCCGGCTCCGAGTCGGAGGTCATCTCCTCCAAGGCGAGCCGGACTCTTGCCTACGACTAGTGCTGGGACTGCCGCAACAACCCAGCCGGAACTGAAAAGTAGACCATCAAATTGGTTCTTGAGGCAGATGAGCTTTGGTGGAAAAGCTACGCCAGCTAAACCGACTCTTGGGGATGCCACCATAGACATCAGTCAGGGTAAAGTGAAACCTGCAATGCTAACTGTTGAAAAGAATCAAAAGGGTGCTATCGCTGAAAGACTGGCAAGCACTCGCAACACTTCTGCAGGTAAGCCATCACAGCCGATTGCAATTAAACCTGCATCGCGAGCAGGTCCCACCTCGGCTGAGTCACTGGCCTCCAACCGAGCAAGCCGATCGATCGAGACGGTTAGGGGTGCGCAATCCGACCGATCTAACGTCCCTTCGCAACCTGGTTCAGTTGTGAGAGATCCTGGATCTACATTCTTACTTGCAGGAGCGAGAGGGGCAGGCGAGCACGTTGGACTAAAGCCGGACTTGTCTTCTAGTGCAGGCGCTAGAGATGCTCCACGTACTCTGTCGCCAACAAGTGCGATCGCCCCTTGGGCAGTCCTGGTCAATCCTTGCAACCCGAAGAAAAACGTCATAAGTTCCAAAAACCAATATCGGCGTTGGCACCACGTCTTCCCTAGGACCTTGAGGGCAGGTACTGTAAAGTGGAGATCTTTGTGTTCACCTGCTGCCGTACCTTTAACGCATGAGTGGTTTCCGTCTGTTGAACAGATAGCAACGCAATACAACGAAAGCCCATATAAGATTACGCAAAACGAGGATGACGACATTCTGGAAGCACCAAAGAGCCGAGAGTCTCTCATCAAAGAGTTGATTGCCTTTCGCCTCTCGCACGGATTTCAGATCATTGTCGGCTCTTCCGTAGCTGAGTTTTCTGGGCGACAAGAAAAGTCTCTCGCTAGCATTCTCGATCCTGAATACATGTCCAGTGATGGAGACACTGTGTTCATGAGCGTCGGAAACAATATCCACCAGCTGGTATGTGTAGCCGGAGGAGAGGTGGAGGTAAGAAGATACAACAGGAAACCTACCACGGCCTTGGAGTCATCTGCTGGTATTGATACGCCCTTTCCATATAAGCCTTTCATCCGCACTGCGTTTGAGGATACCTATGATCCTAGAGAAATTGTGCTGCGTCCACCACGGAGGGAATACAACTGGAACATCATTGATACCTTCTTGGCCGGCTATCACGATGAGTTTTCCGAAGTCCTGCGCTTTTGGCGAGCTCGATTCGTGCTCATACCAGTCGACATACCAGCTATGCATCGCAGGCCGTTGCCTGTGCAAGACTCACCCGAAGAGATACGTCTCGAGGGCATTCGTAAGCTTACCCAGCTATGGCAGAAGTTTCGCTATATTCCCCCGGAAGAGCGCTACTTCCAGCCAGCATCCGTCTTGAAGCAAAAGGACCCAAATCCGCTTGCGATTGAGTATCACACACGCGATCCTTCGGCGGTTGTCGCGGCCGGTCCAGACCACTCTTTACTGAATGATACCGACAGCGAATTCCAGACTTCCATCTTCTCGGATGCGGAAAAGTATCACACATCCAGTATAGATCTCAAGAAACTTGCGGAAGACCTCCAGGGCGAAAAAGGAATTCAAATGCTTGATCGTCGGTGGCATCTGAAGTTGCACTACAATTGTTTCTTGGGGTTTGATCTTACCAACTGGCTACTTTCCAACTTCAAGGATATCGAAACCCGAGACGAGGCAGTGGAATTCGGTAACGAGCTGATGAAGAAAGGACTCTTCCAGCACGTACAAGGGCGGCATCAATTCCGAGATGGCAACTTCTTCTTCCAGATTGCAGCAGAGTACAGGGCGCCGCGAGCCGAATCTCGAACAGGGTGGTTTGGCATGAGGAAGACAGACAAGTCTGTTCCTTCTACCCCACTTGCGGAGGCGCCTCGGACGTCGCCCCTGATATCGAAAAACATCAAGTCCCGTCCCGGTACCGCGGATTCTTCATCCAACAGCTCAGGTTCACTCAAAGAGGGGGAAAAGACCCCAACGCGCGGTGAACCGCATAAGCGAAAAGTCATCATGTCACGCGTCATGCGCTATGATGTCGATCCCAGAAAGCGTTCGTATCGGCCTGAAATCATTTCACTACACTACGACCGATTGCACAATCCCGACAATTGTTATCATATCCGCATTGACTGGATGAACGTCACGGCGAAACTCATTGAGGATGCTATCGTCACCTGGGCTACGAGTGTGGAGAAGTACGGCCTGAAGCTGGTAGAGGTACCCATCGCTGAGGTAGCGGATATTATCGACCATCATCCTTTCCGTTCGCCCTATGCAGTCAAACTTGCATTACAGCCTCCCCAGGTCCAGCCTGAGGCAGTATGGGACTCAACGAGCTTTTCCCCCCAGTACCCCAAAGCTGACAAGTTTGCTTATCATAAGCTTCTACTGCGGAGGCTGAACTTTGTTCTGGACATGGAGGCTGCGAGTGCCTTTCCGCCCGACGTTGAAGTCACTTATTCTTGGGGCACACCCGACTACAAATACACGCAGTTCATACATAAGAGTGGAGGCTTACTCGCTCAGATCACTGACGATGGGAACTTCCTCCTGCTAGCCAACAGGCTTGCGCATAATCGTGCCAAAGACAACGGTAGGATACGACCTGTAGATCCTTATGAACACAAGAAAGCCACTACAGATGGAAGTCAAAGCAGCCGTCTACCCTCGACACCCGCGGTAGAGCGTGGAAACCCGCATCGTAGTCCGTTTGCAAGTCCTTTAGCACGGCCAGTCCAAGACGCCAGTCTCCTCCACACCGCGCTCACGTTTCACGATCCCAAATCATCAGCAGCGACTACTCCAGCATCTGCATCTAATATATCGCTTTCTCCCGAGCAAGTCAAAGATGAAGTAGAAGCCTTTTGCTCGAACGCCTCACTCCTCTCCAGCTTTTACGCTGACGCTTTCCGCCACGCGCCATCTCCTTCTCCACGAATCTTGCCTGTAGGAGAAGACAAGATACCAAGCTTGGGGCTGCCACCAGCAATTAGTATTAGGGATGCTAGTCCGGCGGCAGGAGGCTGGACCCTGAGTAGTACGTTTGGAGGACCTAGTGGCATAGCTGGTCGCAGACAGGGCAGCGAGGGAAGCATGTACAATATGGGGAAGAGAGGAAGTGTAGTCGACGGCATGGATAGAGCACCGAGGCGACAAGATAGCCAGGGAAGTGCTGGAGCCGGAGTATAAGCGATGTAAAAGATCGCCTGTACATGCATGTAGTCGTGCTTTGATCCTTAGACCTTGTGCCTTCGTCTTGCGGGCGTTGATGTAATAGATAGTGGGAAGAGGAACAGATCGATAGAGGCTGACAATAGTCGCACAATGAATCCATCTGAAGATAAGTCCAAAGCCTTTATTGTCCAGCATGTGCGGATGGAGAGAGGACTGTCAACAGTCGAAGATGAAGTAAACTTTTGCTGGCCCTCTAGCATACGGATCAGTTTCTATACGTGGACAGAAAGTGTAAATGTTGATTACTTGGATCAATCTGGATGAACTTCAGGTGCTACGTTTGTAACCTGCGGACATAATAGGAAGGAAGACATTTTCCGGATGACAAGGTTCATCTAAGACCGCCATCACGGCGTCAAGCAATCTTCCGCAACTCTCCTTACAACTTATTGACCCTCTCCCTCATCTCAGCCAGGTCCTCGCCTTCAATAGCATCCTGCCCTTCCTTGACGTAGCTCTTCACCGCTTCTACAATTTCCTCATCACCGTCGATAACATCGACCCAACCCCTCACGCCATCCGTTTCCAAAACACCAACCACGCTCTCTGCAACCGTCGCACGGCTCGTCTTGCCACCAGCCCCAATCTTACCCATCTTCACCTTTCCAGCCGGCTCCTCAGTCAGCGTGCCAGGTCTCAGGCTGATACCGCAGAAGCGCTGATCAGCGGGTACACCATCTTTCTCTTCCTGAGCTACTCGGTCTTGGGAGAGTATCGTGAGGACCTCATCAGCTGCAACCTTGGCCTTGAAGTAGTTCGGCAAGATCTCCGTGTTGACTTTCTGTGCCGCTTTCCAGTCTTCATCGTTCCACCAAGGTGCGCGGCCGTGGCGGGAAGAAAGGTAAGACACTGTCAGGAATTTCTTGATGGAGGGTGTGTGGATGCTGGCTTTTGTGAACGCTATGGCTGCGTCGCGGTCGACTGCGAACGTCATCTCGGCGCCGCCCTTGCCGCCAGCTCCTATACGTTGTGAGCTTACGCTGACGATCCATGATACGCCAGCCTTGGAAAGCACTTACCAGCGCTCCAGACAACCCAATCCGGGTTGACCCGTCCCAAGATGCCCTTCGCGTCGGCCTCGCTCTTTACATCCGCAACGCTATGGACCAGTACATCTAATTTCCCGGGCTGACCCTGTCCCAGCTTCTCAATGGCCGGTTGCTGAGAGGCTGTGCGTATCATGCTGGTCACGTTCCATGATTTGGCCAGCAGGAGCGGTGTAAGAATTTGGGCAACTTTGCCGTGACCGCCGATGAGGAGGACGTGGTGGGCCATGTTTACTGCAGTATCAAAAGACAATAGGAAGAAGGGGTATAGCGGAGTGCAGTAAATGACATAGAATGTCTACCTGAAATAAGGGTTGATGTTGAAAGTAGCATGTAGCCGAGAGCCGATCAAGCGTCATATTGTCAGCACTCGCGATTTCTAAGATGACGTCGTGGGCGACATGTTTCCGAATATGTGCCGAGCAAGCTCCACGTGCATTGCGCCATCCTACCTCTTGCGCACGCATTCGTGTTCGTGCTCGCAACATAGCATTTCCGATATATAATCACAGTCATAGAGGGACAATACGTTTTCTATCTTTTCCATTTCATTGATTGGTATCGCTGCCTGATGTTCAAAGCTACCCCGGAACTGCCACGCTCGTAGAAGTGAAGAAGACACAAAATCGTTGCGAAGAGCTTATTCTCGACACTCGAAGAAGAAATAAGAAAGATACGTTTCAGTAATACAGTGAGCGAGACAGTGCCCGCGAAGCGCTAGGAGGAAGAAACATCGAGAGAGCAAGGGGTATGTACAGTATGGCTCATACTCGGGTGAAGAACTCCTGAACACCATGAAGCATGCATTACAATGTAAAGTTGGTGACAAAAGGAAATTAGAGGACACGGTGTGTACGAATTATAGGGTAAAGGGAAAGAAGACCTCATGTGCCGGGTCCAGTCGACTTGCCCTGGTCGCCGGAATGGCCGGAGAACGGTCCTACAACAAATTCAGGTGTTGTGTCCATGTTCTGGCTGGGAGGACCACGGTACTCGCTGGCATCGGGCGCCAGGATAGGATCAGTCGACTTGGTGTCAGGATGCACTTCGATACCATCCTGAGCCTCGAGGTCTTGCTTCGTCGCATCGCGGCTGAACTTGATTGAGTCGTTGTCACCATGGCCGCGGTCAATTGGCGACCAACCGGCGACACTACCTGCGACAATACCAGCCATAACAGTAGCGGGGCCGAAAGCGGAATTGGAGCGGGACCTGGTGCGACGGCGGCTGTTGGGAGTAGGAGGAGAACCATCATCTTGAGGACCGTTGTTCGGGGTGCCAGGCAGCGAATGGCTAGAGCGGGACTTTGTGAACATCTCCTTGGGATGTTGCACCTTGAACTTCATGGCGCTAAGACGCCCACCCCGGACTTTACGGAGAAAAGCTAGCTCGTCGCGGATCTCCAGTAAGCCCTGGTTCCAATGGTAATCATCGTCTGAGACGACAAGTTCGGGAGTTTGCTTGCGCCTGAAGAAGTCCGGGATACACTTGCGAATAAGTGCGTCGGGTATTAATCGAACGATAACACCTACGGGTAGTGAAAGGAAACCCAAGACTATTGAGTAACCCCACTGAGGACCGTTGAGCCTGGTAACCTTGAAGGCGACACCACCAACGAAGATGATCATGGTCTGACCACCAATCATGATTGCCAGGATGACGATGAAGAACCAGTTGTGGGTGATACCTTCGAAAACGTTGAAGCGGTTGTCAAGTCGGCGGTTGTTCAACGCGTTGAAGATCTGCATCCAGACGAAGGTGTTGAATACCAGAGCGGGCAGTTGTTCTTTCTCTTGTGGACTATCGTAACTAAGGATAGATTCGCCGGCGAAATAGAGGATGAAAGTCACGACCAACTGGTAGATTGCTTGACCAATGATCATCTTCCACATCCTCAACGTGATCAGAGGAGCAGACTTCGGGTCGGGTTTTCGGTCCAGAAGGCTGCGTGTAGGAGGATCAGTTGCGAGCGCTAGGGCGGCGAAGGTGTCCATGATGAGGTTGACCCAGAGCAGTTGGACAGCAGTCAGTACAGAGGTTTGATCGTTGCTAGATACGGCTGAGACGAAGGTAAGCAGGACGGCGGTGATGTTGACGGTGATCTGGAATTGCAAGAATTTCTTGACCGCGTCATTGACCGCACGTCCCCATAGCAGTGCCTTGACGATGGAAGCGAAATTGTCGTCCATGAGAATAATGGCGGATGCCTCCTTTGCGACTTCAGTACCAGCGATACCCATGGAGAAACCGACGTCAGCAGTCTTGAGGGCCGGCGCGTCGTTGGTTCCGTCACCAGTAACAGCAACGGTTTCACCGAGCTCTTTAAGGCGTTTGACGAGTCTACGCTTATCCTCCGGACTAGAACGAGCGAGGACACACAGCTTGGGAATGACGGCGTCCATGTCTCGCTTGGATAGCTTGCGGAAGGTAGGACCTTCCATGACGACACCACCAGGAACGAGGATACCGCAGTCTTCGGCGATGGCCTTAGCGGTCAGAACGTTGTCACCAGTGACCATGCGTACGTAAACGCCTGCGTGTTGACAGTCTTTGACAGCTTCGCGGACGCTCTCTCGCAGAGGATCTTGGATACCAACAACGGCCAGGAAAGTCATCTTGTTGGAAACGTCCTTGAACACAGCTTGGCTTGGGTCATCCTCGTTCTTAGAGGACTCAGCGGGCGGCCAGCTCTCGAAGTCGCGATAGATGAGACCGATGGTTCGAAGAGACCGAGAGGCGTAGGTGGTGATGACTTGTTCAAGAGTCTCGCGGTTGTCGCTAGTCATAGAGGTCTCAACGAGTTCTTTGTTGGCGTCGGTGACTATCTTGTCGCACATGCCAAGCAGAATCTCAGAAGCACCCTTGACGTACATTCGGTAGCGACCGTCGTTAAGCTTCTGAACAGCTCCAGAGCACTTGATAGCTGAATCGAAAGGTATGACCTGAACAATGTTGGCGTTGGAGCGCTCCTGAGCGACGTTGCCCATGCCAAGAAAGTCGCGTGCGAATCCAAGTAGAGCGGTTTCCGTCTTGGAGCCAATGAAAGGATCAGGGCCACCAGCCGCGCCCTCGAAGGCAGTCGTGTTCTGAATGATGGACTGTAACAGAACGTCCTTGACATCTGCGTTCAGGGTCGCAACAAATTCGGGAGCTGAGACATCGTTCGGATTCTCTACGGGCGACTCCACCACATCCTTGCCCTTGCTGCCGTCATCAACGGGTTCCGCTGATGGTGCCTTGAGTTTGTGGTCGCCAAAACGAAGAGCAGTGCCCAGCGAACCAGCGACGACAGTCATCTTGTTTTGTGTCAATGTGCCTGTTTTGTCGGAGCAGATGGTTGTCGCGTTGCCCATGGTTTCGCAGGATCGGAGCAGGCGAACCAGGTTGTTGTCTTTCAGCATGCGGGTGGTGGCGAAGGCTAAGGCAAGGGTAACGGCTAGAGGCAGACCCTCCGGCACGGCGACTACGATGACAGTAATGGCGACGATGAGAATGTTGAGGAAGTTCTGACCCTTTTCGGCAGGGGTAGCACCGCTTCCCTTGAGGCCGACAAGGAACTCAATGAAGAGTACAACAAAGAGCAACAGGGCAGCCGCTCCACCAAGTTTGGCGATGTACGTTGCGAGAACGTTCAACTTGTTCTGGAGTGGGGTGACTTCGCTGTCTTCGCGCAGGGACATCATGGTTTTTCCGTAGCTGGAATGAACACCAGTCGCAGTGACCATGAAAGAACCGACACCTTCCGAGACTTTGGCACCTGAAAGGATGAATGGGTCGACCTTCTTCAAGTTGTCGTGCCTTTCAATAGCCTTGAAGGCCTCGTCTCCAGACATCTTTTTGAGCAGATCAGACTCTCCAGTAGCCGAGGATTCGTCGCATTTGATGCCGTGACCTGTGATGAGAATACCA